GTGCCCCAGCTGGAGTCTGCCTTGGTGCAGCAGTAAGAACCCAGAGCAGGAAAAGTGGTAGCGCAGAGGCTAATTCTACTCAGTGAGTTTCTTGCCAAGAAAGCTGTCGCTGCTGGGAACAGCACTGGAAGTATTTGTTGGCTGTCAGCAAAGACATCTTCATCGGGTAAGGAAGGAAGAAGGGCGCAGCCCTGGAAGAGTGACCGTTGTTCAGAGAGGGTGAAGCTGCACATTGGTGGTCTCTTGCTGCTTTCTGAATTCTCTGTAAACCTCCTCGCCTCTGAGACTTAGTACCGTTTGCTGGGTGTTATCTCCTTTAAAGAGTGGAGGAAGAGATTAGTACCAAGACCAGTTGGAACAAATTCTTCCTGCTCATAGTGATTTGTTTCACTATAATCTCTGGAGGTCATTCTTCCTTAGGGAAAACAGTCCCCTAACAAAACAAGCAAAACCCTATCCTTTTGGGGTGCACTGTTATACTTTTTATCATTTTCCCCACAGTCTGATGAAGGAAGTGGTTGTACCCAGCGTGTGCCACTCAAGTCTCCGCTGTTGACGGCGAGATCCCCACAATCTTTCCTAGCTTACAGAGGCTACAACTAGCCATGCCTGTTAGAGTCTGTGAAATGATGTGCCTCTAGCATTTAGTTTCATTCTGTTCTGACAAGTCTCCTTATTTATTGAGCACTTCTCTTACAAACTAGGGCCATAATAGTTTTCTTCCTCCAAATGAAGGTATTGAAAGCGCTTGGTAGTTGGTACCCCTCTGAAGAATTAGTCCCCAGTTCATCTACTGAATGGCTCATTACACTTCAAAAAGGAGATTGGTTTCTTGTCTTGGGGCTGCCCAGTGATGTAGGGCTGATTACTGATACACATCATGAATTTTCTCTGTTAATAATTGCATTTTTTGTAACAGCTATACAGATATTCACTAGAAATCATTAGATACTCTTTGTTGTTGGAAAGGGTCCAGGGTAGACTGAGACCCTCAGTGCTACTGTATGGCCACAGAAGCAGACTGCATAAGGTCATACAATGAAACATAGTTGAATGGGACCCACCAGTGCTTTTATCACTTGAATGTTCTCGCAGTTGTGTTTTGCTCCTTCTTCTCTTCCTTAAGCAGTGCACAGTATGAAGCAGTGAATCCTTTTCATCTCAGTGTATACACCTGGGCTCTGCCTCGCTTGTTCAGCCTAGGCGGTTAAAAATCCCTTAGATCCAGCTTAGTGTTGCTGTGCTGATTCAGGTACAAATATTTTTGGTAGCAGGGGTGAAGTTCCAGTGCCCAGCTGCTTAACACCTTTTATATTTGGCATTTTTCTCTTATAGATCGCCATAGCTTCTGCTTTCATTCTGCCAAACGGAATAAAGGGCAGAAGGTGGGTCTTCATTTAGTGTTGCAGCCCCATGTGCTGATGGACTGCGGTAGTGAACCCAAGTGAGCGATTAGACTGTACCAGTGCATACTGGCTTAAAATACTTACCTGTTTTAAAAATAAAATTACTGAGAAGTAAAATAAAAGCTTACTTAATGTGCATATTCTGGTGTGTTTGAACATGGTATGGAGGAGGTAAAAAAAAGGAGGCTTTAACTTTGCTAATCATATGGATACATGAATACAAACAAGGGAGCTACTGCAGGGAGGCTTAGTGAATGGCAGCTCGTCTGTGGAGCCGCGGTAGCTGATGGCTACACGCCTAGCTCGCTCCTGTTGTGAAGTAAAACACATTAATGTCAAGGTCCTTTGAGGCTGCACAAGCCGGTGTGTTTTACTTTGTTTGCCATGGGCTCGTAGCACACAACCCCTCGGCTACTGTGGTCGGCTGACGAGTGCAGTGCTGCGAGTTGCAGTGGGGTCACTACTTGTGGATGTCAGTCTGTACCCCGAGGTGTATGTCAGACATCAGAAGACGGAAAAACGCCACCAAGTTGATCTGATAGCTGAGCCAAAGACGTGCATTGTCCCCAGTCAGACCAAAACAAATTCAAAAGCATCTTTAGCTTTTTTGCAGATATCTGTCTTTCTTCCCCACACAGCCGTGGTGAAGGGGGCCTGTGGTTGCTGGGATGAAAGGAGGGGATCTAGGGTACAAACATAGATGAAACCAGGCTCCATCAGTCCTCCTGTCCATTGGGCACCTCAGTGTCCTGCGTGTTCTGGATTGCTGGCTCTCTTTTGTTTGTTGTAACGTGCCCATATTGGATCTTGGATGCAGTTAGTAACCAGTAAGCAGCAGCGGTGAGAACCACCTGTGGTACGAGCGCGTAGGTACGTCCCTCCATGTTGTAGTTGGCATATTAAAACTTTAACTTCTGACAGCTCATACGTTGACTCTGTGTTTAGTTCTGCCGGTTTGTCCCTGCCCTGACCAGTACTTGCGTACTGTAACCCTGAACTTCCAAAGGAGATTTCAGCAGGGGCTGCTGCTCTGCGTCTTCATTGCTGTGAGGTCTTCTGGAGGCTGTGCTGGAGAGCAGAGCTGCCTGAATAGCAAATAACAAATGAGAATATGCCCTGAGCCATACAGCGTGGGGCACGCAGGGGACATTGTGAAGCAGTGGGTTTTGTGTCTTAGAGATTTTACAGAGCAAGTGGGAGGAGTGTAACGCGTGGGGGAGCAGCGTTCGCTGGAGTGCTTGCCTTACCTCACAGTTTCTAAAGTGGCCTGTTTTCTTCTTCCTACAGACAATTTTAGGTACACATGTGACATTTGTGGGAAAAAATATAAATACTATAGCTGCTTCCAAGAACACAGAGACCTACATGCCGTGGATGGTGAGTACTGTTTTGACACTCAGACACCCAAACTAGAATGAGGAGTCATTGGGGAAGGCAGAATGTGGTTCTGCAGGACCGTGTGGCCCATGACGTACAGGACATTGCACAGCATGGCTCGCTTGCCATTGTCAGTGGAGGCACAGTCCACAGGCACTGCAGGAAGAAGTTTGCTGCGCTTGATTCTCTTTGCGTGCTTCAGAATAACACCCTCTGCTGGGACCCGTGGTCCTTGCACTCCTGTTGTGTTGAGGTTCGTGGTTAGGATGGATATCCTAGAACTGCCTCAAGGTAAATTGTCAGTCTGACTACTTCCTGGGCAAGAGTTTGTTGCCTTTCGGTTTCTGATGTCAGAGGTTCGTTCCCAGCATGCTCCTCTGTGAGAAACCTCATTTCAGAGTTGAGAAATGTTGTTTCGTTCTTATTAATCACTGTGGTGGTGAACTAATGCCGTTGTCAGTGGACCTTACAGGCCGATTTTTCCTCTGTGAATGTAGATGTGGCCTAGGCTGGTGACACTTGGACAGGAGCAGACACCTTCCTTCAGAAGCAGTGTTCTTTTTTCTACATTGGGGGAAATAGAAGCAACAGCAGACCCTTTGGCTTGCCTGCTACTTACTGGGCATCTAAAGGTCCTTGACCCAGAGCCCACAGCTACTCCCTACCCTCACTGTGTACGCTGCAAGCCTGTCGGTACTGCTCCTCATTTGGCCAAGGAGGGAGCCCTGGCAGAGTTTTAGAAAGAGGCTGCTTGGAAAGCAGAAGGTTTTGAATGGCTGGACTGTGTCAGAAAAGCAAGTGATTTTTCACAGTATGTGGTGTCCAAAATAATTGCTGTTTTTAACTGGAATGTGTGGGCATCTGAATGTGCTCCAAGAACAGCCAGCGTTCCTTTGCAGTGCACCACTGCAAGCTCCCTTCCTCCCATGGGAGACAAAATCAAATTATATTTGATATGCTGGGACTGAAAGTCACTGTGAGATGGACGTGTCTGCTTCTGTCAGAAATGTGTCTTCATAGCTATGGTTCAGGGAGCTCTGCCTAGGGTTACGAGAGGGCTTTGGAAGCGGCTTCCACTTGTGTCTTGCAGGGACACTGTTTGTCTCAGTTCCTCCGAGGGGCTGATTGTGTTTTAGCAAACACAAGTGTGAGGCAGCTGTGCATCTGAACTTCACGTGGGGCTGTGTCGGTGTCAGAACAAAGGCCTTGAGAATCTGTGTACGTTAGGGCTGGGCATACTTCAGTAGTTCCTGTGTGGATGCTGCTGGGAAGAGGAGGGACTGGGGCACAAAGCCTGGTTTATTCTGTGGGGCTGAAATATGCTGAAGCGGTGTGTGAAATACAGGAGGAAAACAAGGCCATTTAAGAGGATTTAATTTCTGTTTTGTTTCTTCCCCTCCTTCTTCTATTCTGTGTTAGTTTTTAGTGTGGAAGGGGCCCCAGAAAACCGGGCAGGTAAGCTGAGATCCTTCGTGTGCTTCATTTCACAAACCTTTCCAAGCAGTCAGTGGTTCAGACACAGCAGGTCCGATTCTACACTTGTAAGAGTCAAGGGAGTTTGTCACTGATTGGAGTGGGAGAGGGAGCATCCTCTCTCCCTCCCCCAATGTCTACAGCCAGTAGGTTGATGCCCAGCCCTAGTAGATACCAGGCTTTTGTTGTACATACAATTGATCAGGCTCCTGAAAATCGAAGAAGCAGGTGTTTCATGTCTTTGGTGGTTTAGTGAATTGTTCAAGGCATAAATTAAATTATTTTATAAAATGGGTTGGGTTCTGATTTGTTGCTAGCTGTGCTGTTAGATGGTAGAAAGTCACCGGTCAGTATTTGTTAGCTGACTTGCTTGCAGACTGCATTACCATGCCCACTTGCAGACAGTGTAACATCATTAGCTAGGAGATGCACTGGCAGGAGATCAGAAAATGTGAATCAGGCTTTGCAATGTGTTTGTTCAGTCTTTCTCTGTGTTTTTTAAACATTATTTACCTGCAAGGCATGTTACTGGGCTGGAAGCGAGGGAAATCCTGGGACACCAGAGGAGGAGGAGGGGCAAGTCAGACAGAGGGGTCATTGGGTTTATAATTACTGTCTTGAAACCTTGTTACAGATTGAAATGTCGTTACAGATGCAGGAGCATTCAGTGCCCATGCAGCTGTAGAAGGAAATCCTGAGGGTGTTGTCAGCTCTCTTGCTGGTTCTGTTCTCTTGCAGACCCCTATGACCAGGCCGTCATAGCAGCAGATGAAGTGAAGGAGGAGGAGCCGGAACCGTTCCAGAAGATTGGTCCAAGTATGAGTTATTACACAGCTTCTAATGTGAAAGGGGAGAGCACAAGGGTTTCAAATCTGGCCTTAGCTGGAGTACCTCTAAGAAAACCAGAAAGCACTGCGTTACACAGTGGGTTTGGGCCTTTAAGGGGGCTGAAAGATACATTTAGGTTCAAATGAACACCAAACACCAACAGCCCTGGCCCTAAGAAATGCAGCTTTGTGATGTTTTCTGCTCAAGAGCTCTACAAAGAGAAGCAGAAAGAGGTTCAGGAGAAGAGCAAACTACCGGCAGCGATTAGAGAGGGTCTTAAGGTGTCTTGACAATGTTGCAGGTGATTGTTTTCACTGCCTTTTTGGTGGGTTCATCAAACAGATCAGAGTGAAACAAAGAGAGGACCAGACTTTGACGAAGCATTTCTCTGGAATCTCCGTTTTGGAAACAGTTGCTTAACCCTGGGATTTCCTTTGGCTTGCAGCTTGCTGTCAGTCAGTACTTCCCAGCACTGGCAGGAGGGGGAGGTGTCAGTGTGTGGTTATGCTGCTTCATTATTTCAAGTACCCACAAAGCAGGAATTAGCATGGTTATTGCAGAAAAGGCCCTCCTCCTGCAAGAGAAATCTACAATCCAAATACAAAAGTTCTGTAGTTAAGACTTAAACTTGAGAACTTGTTTCCTAGTTTGACTGTTCCTGTTGTCCCCACATCACAGACTGTGTGTAACCAGGAGACAAAACTGTGTTGACTGTACTACAGACTTCAGAAATGGATTGTCTCCTTTGTTTTGCACACTTACTTGCCATAATTTTGCGATGATCTCCTGTAGCTTGTTCACTTCTGCTGGACTTTTTATGGATGGTCCATCACTCTGGACTCTGGCTTAAACTGTTCCCTTTGGTGGAGGAAAGAATGTGTGAGTTACAGGACAGATAAGTTCCAAGTGCAGGAGGAGTGTGCTCTAGTTTTTGTCAGCTGGCCAGTTTCTATTGAAAAAGTCAGGAAGTCAGTGGTTGTGTGAGGGCGCTGCACTCCTTTCTGATCGTTGCGTTTGTTTCATCTTCACAGAAACTGGCAATTACACCTGTGAATTCTGTGGCAAGCAGTACAAATACTACACTCCCTACCAAGAACATGTGGCACTGCATGCACCTATTAGTGAGTATCCTGCTGGAGATCTGTGTCATTACAGACTGTGATTTACAGTGGTTGGTGGTAAACACGAGGGTTGCAGGAGAGAGTATCATTCTTGTGGATCCTTCCACTGGACCTGTGGGATTGCAGCTGGCAGGACAGAGATCATGTGCTGACCAGGGCACCTTAAAGCTGAGCTGGAACCTCCTTCAGAGGGACACTGTTACTGTTAGGTCTGTAAAGTCGCTGAACTTTTACCAAAGTCCACGCAATTCTACCTGTGTTCCTTGGGGGTTTGATATTTTATTTTGTTGTTTAACTGAAGTGATACACAGAACTTTTAGACTCCCCTAAATGATAAGTGAACGTACGTGCTAGGGAAAAAGCATCTTTTTAGAAGCTTCTGAGAAATTATTTCAGACAGTGAGTTAAAACTGCTTTTCAAAATCATGTGAATTACCTTGACAGCTTGCTACTAAATCACAGGCAATAAAATATTTATTTCAGGGAGCTCGGGAAAAGGCAGTTCTCAGCATACTACACGACACTACGATCTGCACTCTGGAGGGACACTACGATCTGCACTCCCCAGACAAAGGGGAGGTTTTAATGAGCAATTAAGTGTAATTCAGTGCAAAATTTTAGTAAAATAGTTGAGAGAAATTTTGCTACATGCTGATTTTGGATGCTTTAAAAGTATGCAGAGAAGTTCTTTACGCCTGAACTTCATGTTTCTTTCATAGCATTACCCTGTGCTTTATTGCGATTTTAATGCTGTGAGCCAGCGTCGCTGTTCTTTGCCCGTGTCTGTCCTGCTGCCAGCGTTTTGGCTGGTGATGAGGGTGGATGAGCTGAGCTCATTAGCTTAGCGGGTTTCTTTAGCTGCTCATCAGCTGCCAGCAGAGGGAGCGCACACTCCTTCCTCACCAGATTCAGCTTTCCTTGGGTTTTAAAGTTACTATAATAAGGCAGGTTTTGTTTTAGACATACATAGAAATGAATTGGGAGCACAGTCCACCAGACTATCACTTTTAAGGTGGATCAAAGCTTGGTGGCTCTTGACAGCTCCTATGCAGGTTCTCTGAAGTGTGGAGGTGGACCAAGATCATGGTAGAAGGTGTAGGGCATAAAATACCCGTACAGCCGTCATCACAAAGTTAAGTCTTATTATTTCCCATCTGCCTGAAGGAACTAGTCCGGTGCTTATGACTGCACACGTAACAGTTACTCTTAAACATCCCTGCACCCCCAAACTTCACCTCTTAATTCAGGTGTTTTCAGGTCCTCAAAAAAGCCTTGGTGGTGATCAGCAGTAGGTCAGTCTCCTAGTGTGTAGATGGGCCCTCAGCCCCCAAGGCTTTGGTGTCTCTAGTCCACCCCTGTACAGAGAGCTAAGGAGCAGTGTAAGGACTGTGCATCTTCCCAGTACTTTCGCATTGCAAGGGGATTTATTGCTATGGCTGTCTCTCCACCCTCCCAGCCATCTGTAGGAATAGGCTGCAGTTGCTGGTTCCAGTCCAGGCTATCCAGCATAAAATCAAAACACAACTGGTCTTCTCTGAGGGGTGTTTCCCTGAAGGGGGCCCAGAAGTCAGAGATGTGCAGATGGGTTTCGAGTCCTTTCAGCAAATATCTTTAGCTGTGAAGACACTTAAGATCAGATCAGGATAATATTTCCGTAAAGTTTAACCCCGTCCCCGTAAACTTTTCTTTTTCCTTTTTTTTTTTTTTTTAACCTTTTTTTTTCCCTCTCTTAGTTCCCATGACCAGTAAGATTTGTGATTTACATTGACAAATAACTAACCCTGATGAGCATACAGGAGAGGGCATGATTAGCTCCCAAGGCATCCACCCACCTTTCTACTCCTCAGGCTGTGCTTCTCTTATAAACCAAGGTCCTGTGAGGCAGCTGTAAACACATGACTGTTGAAAAGCTCAGCTGGCTTTTCTTGGGCCCTAGCAGTCAGAAGAAGTAGAGCTGAGACTGTATCTTTACCCTGATCTTGTTCTTCTGCTTATAAGGTAAATGCTGAAAAATTAGCTGTAGTGGGAGCAGGTAAGGAAAACACTTCAGCGTTACCAATTCAGCTTCCTGGGTCTCTCTGCTTGAGTGCAAGCTTCCCTTCCGGAGCCTGTCTTTCTGTTATAATGGGTAAAAATTCATTGAAAATGGGTTAAAACAAGGACTCATATCCTCCAGGGTCAATAGGACCTTGCAGAATAATTTTTGGTCAGTGCTGCTGGATACCTGCTGTCTGGAAAAGAGCTTTGCTGTGGCGTTCCCTGGAATTGTTAATGCCAAATGTCTCCTTCGAAAGTTGCCTTTTGTTAGAGGAGCAGGGGCTTTTTTATGTGCTTAGAACTGGGCTGTTACTCTTTTAAAATACATATTCTTATGCTGTTTCTGTTAGCCTATTTCCTCTTTCTAAGTGGAGTGTCAGAGGCTGTTTCCAAAAAAAGTGGATTGTAGGCATGTTCGTTGTCCCAGTTTTAGAAATGTCGCTGAACGGAGGTGCACAGGGGGAGGGTTCAGAGATTTCTTTCTGTCCTCCTCCAGGCTCTGTCTGCTCTATAAGGTGGAACTGATTTAAACACATTTGCAGGTGGCTGGGCTATCGTGGTTGCTCTTAGATCATGTGTTTATAGTGCAGAGAAAACCTAGTGCATTTGGGATGTGGACTGGCTAGGAAAGCCACCAGGAGTGGGTTTTACCTTGGTAAGTCCAGTCTCAAGAGTGTGCACTCATCACATCTTCTAGTAACTGCAGATAAGGCAACAGACTCCCTGGTCATGAAAATATGTGGCAAGAGCACAAAAATCTGCACTGCTATCCGTGTTTATTGCTTCCAGGATGAAAATCTAAAGTGATATCAGGGTCCTGAGTGCACTCATAGGTTGTAATGGCCCTGCTCAGCCTCACGTGGGCCTCTGCCCACATTCAAACCCCCTGTTTCAGCTCAACTGTGGACCATCAGTCCCTGCATGAGCTACACTGTGGGATGTTGGTCTCGAGCTCAGTTGTAGACATGCCCATGCCTGGCTGTGGGTCCCATTGGTCTGTACCCCAACCTGTAGACTTCCCAGCTTGACATCAACCCTGTCTTATCACACTGGATCTCCCTGAGGATCGCTGGTATGTGTCTGGCCCTGGTTATCCTCACCAGAGCTGATCCTGCCACTGACATGTAGATTGACTTCCCAGCTTGACCATAGACCTGTCTCATCGCCATGAACTTCTTGATGATCCGGACTCTTGGTTGAACCTGACTATTGTCTCTGATCCTGCCTTGCTCACCTCTGTCAGGGGCTGTGGGATGGGCCCTGGCTCTCAAAGACCCCACTGTGCCAGATTGTACTTGGGTCCATAGGGGACAGACCGACCTACATCCACCCTGACACCTGAGATGCTCAAGGAAGTTCATCAAGCCTCTCTGCTCAGTTACTTTTCTGACCGTAAAGAACACCAGATAAAATTTGTTCATCAAAAGTGCTTAAAAACAGTGTTTGTTTCTTAAAGGCAGCTGCCATCATGGCTTTTTCTCTGAGGGAAAGGGATCCTTTTTGGTAGCATCTCTAGTTTCCACACACGTCCTGCCTAACCAAGAAAAAAACAGATCCAGATTCTGGTTGAATGGTGTGTCTTTGCTTCCTCAGTGAGTGAAATCTGTGAGTTCAGGTGTTTTTCCTGCTCTCTGATCCCACAGTGCCTTAGCAACAGGCTCCACTGGCAGTATTTCTTTGTGTGTTTAAAGAAGCACATTAAGAATTTTATAGGTTTGAGCACAGAGTTTTTCCTGTGGAAAGGCCTGGTTCCGATAGCAGAGGTTTCCACTCAGTATATTGAATTTCAGGCCATTGTTAAGGAATCACTTTCCATCATATTCATTAAAGATAGGCTGTTCTTCAGAACTGATCGTAAAATTCCATCTGAACCAACTGAATGGTTCCTTACCCATCCTGACAAGATCCTTCTGAAAAAAGGTGATACACAAATTATTAGCCAGAATTTGTACCTGGAAAAAGTGAAGTTACTGGGATAATCTGATCTCAGTTCTATTGTGGTGGTGCATCATGGTAGTGTGTGGATATATGTATTTTTCGAGGACACATCTTGAAATTGAAATATCTGCCCGATTTTCTACTTACTGCCAGAGCTTGCCTTTCATGGGGCTTGAAGGTCTTACTAAAAACTGGAAAGCCAGGAGGGGCCACTGTGACCTCTGGACTGATGGAGTAATGCATGCTATAGGGTTGCTCACATACATGTTTTACAGAGACATCTAATCTTGCTTTTAAGAGTGACAGAAAACACAGCAACCTCTTATGGTAATTATTTTGATGAATTATTACCCTCATGAAATTAAGACTAAAATTATCCAGCTATAGCTTTCAGACGCTGCTATTTATAACTTCATCTGCTAGGTGAAGGAGGACTAAATTACCAAATTTCTGTCCATTCTAGACCTTTGTCTAGCCTGCTGTCAAGTCACTTGATAGTGACTAACCTCCCAGTTAAGTTGAAGGAGTGACCTGGTGTTTCCATTGTGAGGTATGCTGTTCTTGTCCTTCATTTATCCTCTTGCCATCTCATCTGAATTTTCTCAAGTCTGTTAGTCACCTTCATGAAGGGCATGCGCCAGCACTGAGTCTAGTGAAGGAACTGAGAGCTAACACTGTCTTCCTTCTTGCCTTTGAAAGTGCCCTGATTGCAAACCCAAAGAGTACCTCGGTCCTTTTAGCTACATCATTGCCCTGGGAGCTCCTCTACAGCCATCATGACTGAGCACGTCAGTGAACGAGCTCTTTGTCCTGCTGCCAAGGCAGAGTCCCCCATCTTTTAAGTATCACCTGTATCATCTGTACTCTTTAAAGAGCACACCATGTGCCGTTCTGTGCAGCTGTAGCACAGTGCACTCAGTTTACCAAGTGACTGGAGATCATTCAGTGCGACTTACCCTCTACATCACTTCTCTCCTGCCCTTCCTTCCCCAGTAGCTTCTCCTTCTCAGCTTCAACTGGGGCATATCTTTCTGAGAAAGTTTAGAAAACTTCATAGCAGCACTTATGGGATTATCTGTCCACAATGCTGCCCCCAGTCTTGCTGCCTAGCTGCAGGTTTTGAGGCAGAAGGTTTTTTGTAACCATTCAGCAACTCAGTATTTTCATTTTTGGAAATATCTTGAACTTGACCTTTTTGTCAGCCTGAGGCAGTGGGTTCCACAGTGAAGATGACTTTTCAAGAGCAGAACAGAGGAGCTATGTGATTGTGTCTACCTGTGTGGCTTAGTCTTCAGAGGGAATTTGTCATCTGATGACCTAAAGTCTAAAACTTTTTTTTCGATGGATTACTGGCATCCTCCAAACTGCTAGAACTAATACCCTTTTGTCTGTCTTCCCTTGCTGGTTCAAACTCTTTCTGCCTAGTGTCAGATGAAGCAGCGTTCTCTCTGGGATCTGAATTTGAAGACATACTATTTGTTGGGAGGAAAAAGAAGTGATTTTGGAGGTCTTCATAGCACTGAGACCTTTTTCTTGAGATGTCAGAGAGCATTATTGGACTACAGAGGATTTGCAATGATACTTTTTGTTTCAGACACTGAGTAGTTGGCTGATTGCTAATTCTCCTGGTATGGACAGGAATTGGTGGGAAGGGGCCTCCTGGGAAACTAGATGGCACATAAGCAAGGAATTGTCATATCTGACTACATCCTTGCTGGCAGTTTGGCAGCAACTGGAGGAGGATTATCCATGGTGGTTGAAAGGAAGTATAGGAAGGAAAAGCGAGCCTCCTGCCTATTCATCTGGCCAGAGACCAAGCAGAGGAGAAGTATTGTGACCTAAACTATGAGAAAACCTAGTGCAGAATCTCCTGCAGAAGTACACTAACATTTACAAGAAACGTCATCTTGGATCTGTGTATCAGATCAAGTGAAATAAAAAACTGTGTCCTTTGAATATCTTTTTGCAAGCTGCTTTGAATGTACAATCCTCACTTTCCAGTGCTGCTGACAGGGAAGATGAGAGCAGTTCACATTCGAGGTCTGTAATGTCTCATGAAATTTTGGAAATGAGCATCCAGTCCCAGTTCGGGTGACTTTTCTCCTCACCTGTTTCAGAGTCAGGCTGTTGTTCTGCCATGGCAGTCCATGACGGAGTACTGCTCAATGTGGATAAGTATTTCTGAATTACACTGTATAGGATGAACAGGTGCTAGAGTTGTCCATCCAACTTTAGGCTTCCTAAAATACCGCTCTGTAGAAATTGCTGGTAGTGAGCTTGGGCTGTGGGTTGTGTGAACCTTGTTTCTTAGTTGTTCTTCATGGAGGATGGTTGAAGTGGGACTTGGGCTTCAAAAGCCGTGTCCAGATTTCCATGGAAGAAGCCACTGAGTAAGGAAGGAGGTGGTTGGGTTGTTTCTCTATTTTTTGTAATTGTTTTTTTAATCCATGTGGCCTAGACAAAGGGCTGTCCTCCTGAAGGTTTTTCACATGACTTTTGGCATTGAAAATTCCTGGTGATCCTCCGGTGCATTGCAGAGACCAAAACGTAGATACATCCAAAGAGCATATCCCAGTAACACTAGAATTTCTCCACATGTCACCAGTACTTGTCTGGAGATGGAGGCCAAAAGGCTTTTTGTGACTTGCAGGATGAGAACTCTGCCTCCCAATTCCCTTCCATTACCAACAGCCCCCTTCCCTTTGTATTTTGTTAATGAGACAAAGAATGTAGCTGGAGATCTCTAGGACTTATGCAAGGCTCAAGTAACAAACATGTAAACTTCTCCCTATTCAGAGCTCTGAGCGTCACATTAGAAACCTGGTCTCAAAATTCAAACTCTTACATATACAGAAAGGGAGGACAGAGATGCAGGTACACCCAGCCAGTCCATGGCAATCCAATAGCGCTCCTGGATGGA